TTTGCATTTGGTGGGACATCAAAGGAGTAATTCATTTTGAACTCCTCAATCCACAGCGAATTGTCAATGCAGAGACCTATAGTCAGCAACTAGAACGTTTGAATCAAGCCCTTTACTCATCAATCGGAAAGGTGTTCTTCCCCACAACAATGCACGTTTGACGCAACACAAGATTATGGAGTTGGGTTGGGAAGTTCTCTCCCACCCACCAAATTTTCCAGATATGGCACCATCAGATTAGCATTTTTTTCATTAGCTGCAACACCATCTTAATGAGAAACATATGCAAATGTGGAAGGTGTTAAAGATGACATCAACATGTTTTTTGCTTGAAAGCCAAGTGATTTCTTTAATCAGGGCATTAACAACCTGATTGTAAGATGGAAAAGCATCATCGATAAGAATGGAGACTATTTCATTTAATAAATGTTTTGTTTTGATAGATAAGTTGTTCGGGTTTTTTCATCTAAAAAAAAGCGACCTTAATTTCTTGACGACCTAATATTATCACAGATTTTACTTACTGAGCTTTCTTCTTTAGTATAGTTTGGGCTTCTGGATAATGTTCTAAAGCATCCCACAGATCAGCTTTTCCCAAAACAAACAAGTTGGAAAAACCTTTAGAGCGAACATCTGCTGTCCTACGGTCACATCCTGGAATCCCTAAAAGACTAAAGCACACTGTAATTGTTACACAACTGCAAAAAACAAACCCATGAGTTTTATAGTTATTGAATGTATGAAACAGTTACTGGCCATGAGTGATAAATATCTACATTAGTATATTGGGAATAGATTCAAAATTACAATTTGTCAATGGAAAGATGACTAATTTGTAGTTTCAAAATTTAACAATCTTGGGGAAAGCATTCATGATAACTAAAACATTATATTGGAAATTAAGAAGTTCTCAGCCCCAAAAACTAGTAAAAATTGTAAAGAAATTGATCTTGTGATTTTAATTAAATTTCATGGGATTAATGTGATACCTTAAATTTTTTCTATTACTTTTATTTGTATTTTCAATAGGATCTGGTATGTTTGCTCATTACAACTGATTTTGAAATTTCCAAAATTCAAGCCATACAAGTTAATATAAGATAAATATTTGAAGTTTATTTAGATATTTCTCTACTTTTTTAGAATCAAATTGGCCTATCATTTCTTTTTTTCCTCTGTTTTTAAGTATTCAAAAACTAGTAAATAATTCACAAGAAACAAGAATATACAAATTGTTACCAAACAAAGTAACTAATCCAATACCATAGGGGAAAAAAAAAGATTGCTGTTTTTTCCATGTTATATTTCTCAAGAAAGGACCAATAACTTGGCATAGGTATGTTTAGCTTCCAATGTACCATCAGTACTTTGTTTCTTCTGTATTCAAGCATTTTTGTGTTTTAACAAGTTCGGCAAGAAACAGTTTTAATTCCTCTTACATGTGCAAATCTATTATATTAATAATAATTAAGAAATATTTTGCAATTTTAATGTGTGAAAACCCAGTAATGTACTAGAAAAATAATGTAAAAGCACCTGAACTGTGATGCAGTATTTTTATAAAACTGTACACAGATCTAAAACATTTTTCCTTGAGGATATGGACTATAGTTGCTACATGTTTTAATTCAACACTAAACAGTTTCTTAACCCACAGTTTATTAACATTTAAAACTGCTGGCCTTTTCCATGATCATAAACTACTGTAGATGATATACACGCTCTTTTAATGTAAACAGACAGTCATCTTTCATTCCAACAAATGGTGGTCTTCTTTACAGTGAAACTATAGTATAAAGATTGCTATTTCTGTAAGTGTAGAATCCAATAGTAACATTTATAAACCAGCTAGAATACATGCTTATTAATGTAAATTTACAGTCATCCTTTCAATCCAACAAATGGTATCTTCTCCGCAGTGAAGAAAAGTAAACTGGCCTACAATATTATATATTGTTTTATGGTAGTTATTCCAATCAGAACAAATGTTTCTAATCTTATATTTTAGAAGTGGTTTGATCCTTAAACCTGAAAAAAAAGAAAAGCAACATTTAAATACTTTGTTAACAGATTATTATAGGGTTACATAAGTATTGTAATATATATATTTTCATAACATATTTTGGGACCTATTGGTCCATCTTGGCTGTTCCATCCTCAAAACTAGATTAAAATGATTAAAGAAAATAAAATACATTTTAAACCCAGCCATTTTCATTCATATACTTATCAATCTTTTTCTTAAACTCATTTCAGTTTACTGCCTCTTCAACATCTGAAGAAAACCCATTCCAAAGGACAACCACCCTGTTGGAAAAATAAAACTGAAGATGACTCCTACCTTGCCAAAATTTATATCTGTGTCCCCTAGTCCTACTATTTTAATGTTAAATATAAAAAAAAGATGATGCATCAACACTATCAATTCCCTTAACAATCTTAAACACCTCAATCAGATCACCTCTAACTCTTCCTTTTTCAAGATAAAACAATTTCAGAGATCTTAACTTCTCATCGTATGACAACTCCTCCATCCCATGCACCATTCTAGTAACCCTCTTCTGAACCCTTTCCAACAATTCAATGTCCTTCTTAAGGTAAGGAGAACAAGACTGAATACAATACTCAAAATGTGGCCTAACTGGTGACTTGTACAATGAAGTTGTAACCTCTTTTGACTTGTATTCAATATTTTAGTAGATACAACCTAAAATCCAAATTGCCCTACCACTAGCAACAGCACACTGCTTGGATGGCTTTAGAGACTGAGCGACTATTACACCAAGATCCCTTTTCTTCATAACACTGTTAAGGTTATCCCCATCCAAATTATACTTATAATTCAAATTATGATAATCCACATGCATTATCCAGCATTTATTATAATTGACACCCATCTTTCATTAATTTGATCTAAATCTTTTTGTAAATCAGCAGCATCTTCTTCACAGCTAGCAACACCCAAGACCTTAATATCATCTGCAAATTTAAGTAATGTATTGACTATTCTTTCAAAGGTCCTAAGACTGAGCCCTGGGGTACCCCACTTGTGACATTAATCCAGTTTGACTGAACTCCATTTGCAACAACCCTCTGCTTTCTTCCATTCAGCTACTCTTCTATCCAATTTACTAACTTATCCCCCACACCTAGACTCCCACGTTTGGTACAGTTCGATATTTTCCATCTAAGCTCCCAGGCTGGGTATAGTTTAGTATTTCCCGTATAAGTTCCTACGTTGGGTATAGTTTAATATTTCCCGTATAAGCTCCTACGTTGGGTATAGTTTAGTATTTCCCGTATAAGCTCTTACGTTGGGTACAGTTTAGTATTTCCCGTATAGGCTCCCACGATAGGTATAGTTTGATATTTCCTGTATAGACTCCAACGTTGGGTATAGTTTGATATTTTCCGTCTAAGCTCCCACGTTGGGTACAGTTTGTGTTTCCTGTCTAGACTCCCACATTGGGTATAGTATGATATTCTCTGTATAGGCTCACACGTTGGGTATAGTTTGATGTATAGGCTCCCACGTTGGGTATAGGCTCCCATGTTGGGTATAGTTTGATATTCTATGTAAAGGATCCCACGTTGGGTATAGTTTGATGTATAGGCTCCCACGTTGGGTATAGCTTGATGTATAGGCTCCCACGTTGGGTATAGGCTCCCATGTTGGGTATAGTATGATATTCTCTGTATAGGCTCCCACGTTGGGTATAGTTTGATATTCTATGTAAAGGATCCCACGTTGGGTATAGTTTGATGTATAGGCTCCCACGTTGGGTATAGCTTGATGTATAGGCTCCCACGTTGGGTATAGGCTCCCATGTTGGGTATAGTATGATATTCTCTGTAT